GTCTATAAGATGGTTTGCCACTAAACGGATAGATGGCGCTTTTCATCTATTTTTTCTGGCCTTTTCTTTGTTGTTTTTTTTTTCAGTGATGCTGGGAAGCTTCGGGAGGCGTGCGTCGTGATCCATTTTCTGTTTTGGGATCTGTTTGTTTTTTCTTTTTCTCTTTCTTTCTCAGGCTATTTGTTTTGTTTTGTTTTCTCTCTCTCTTTTTTTTCCTCTTTCTCTTTCTTTCTTACTTGCTTTTTTCTCTCTTTCTCTTGTTCACACTCTCTTTCGTCTTCACTTCACTCACTCTCAGTTTCTCTGACTTCTCGTAGACTTCTCTCATTCTCACTTTCACTCTCTCTCTCTCTCTCATATCTCTTTCACACACACACTTTCTCTCTCTCACTTCTTCTCTCTCTCTCTCTCTCTCTCTCTCTCTTCTCTCTCTCTCTCTCTCTCTCTCTCTCGCTCTCTCGCTCTCTCTCTCTCTCTCTCTCTCTCTCTCTCTCTCTCTCTTCTCTCTCTCTCTCTCTCTCTCTCTCTCTCTCTCTCTCTCTCTCTCTCTCTCTCTCTCTCTCTCTCTCTCTCTCTCTCTCTCTCTCTCTGACTCGCATATTATTATTACTTTTATTTTCAAGTCACTACTTTCACACCCGCAAGATAAGCTGTCGTTTTTTTTGTCTTTGTCTTTGGGTAATGAAGTCAGAGAAATTTCAGGAAAGTATTAAAAATACATTACTTTTCTGTATTGCAGTTGGCCTGAAAAGAGAGAGAGAGAGAGGAGAGAGAGAGAGAGAGAGGTGTGAGAGAGAGAGAGAGAGAGAGAGAGAGAGAGAGAGAGAGAGAGAGAGAGAGAGAGAGAGAGAGAGAGAGAGGAGAGAGGAAGAGAAAGACAAAGACAGACAGACAGAATGACAAACAAACAAAAACAGAGGAAAAAGAACAAAAAGGAGAAAAAGGAAAGACAAATGAATAGTAATATAACCATCTCTTTTCCAGCATCCCCTCAGCCGCCCATCGGAGACCGCCCGCCATCCCGTTGCACCTCAGGACCAGAGCGACCTCCCACGGCATCTAGAGTGAACAGCTGATCGTCGGCGGCGCTTCCTTTCACTCCGTTTCAGCGCCGGCCGACGCCTCGCCGCGCCCTGCCCTCAGCCTCCGAATTAGCATAATGAGATGCATTAAAGAAAATTGGGAGAGGGTGATGTAGCGTGCGAAGGAGAGGGAAGGGGGATGGGGGGATGGGGAGGAGGGGAGGATACGTTGAGGAAAAGAATGATGGAAAGGGAGAGAGAGAGAGACTGACAAACAGACAGACAGAAAACAGAAAAAGACAGAGAGAGAACGTAATATGTAATATTTCTGTTGGTGTGTTAAAACGTATTCAACGAATCATTCCATTAAACACGAACAACTAAAATAGAAGGAAAGAAAACACAAAAAAAAACACAAGAACACTCGAGCACCCAAGCCCCGCCGCCAGCACGTCCCCGAGACGCCCCCGAGACGCCTGAGACGCCCCGAGACGCCCGAGACGCCCCGAGAGACGCCCCGACACGCCCCGAGACGCCCCAAGACGCCCCAAGACGCCCCGAGATGCCCCGAGACGCCCCAAGACGCCCCGAGACGCCCCGAGGGACGCCCGAGCGCCCGAGACGCCCCCGAGACGCCCCGAGACGCCCGAGACGCCCCGAGACGCCCCGAGACGCCCCGAGACGCCCCGAGGACGCCCCGAGACGCCTCGAGACGCCCCAGACCCCGAGACGCCCCGAGACGCCCCGAGACGCCCCCAAGCACGCCGAGGAAGGAAAGCACAGGCCCCAAACGCAGCCCGGGCGACGAGTCGTCGGCGACCCGAAGGCGGCGAGCTGCGGGTCGGCGCCCGAGGGAGGGGAATGTACACACAAGCCCCGCGATGAATGTCGAATGTTTATGCAATGTTTTAGATCATTCCGGACGCGAGGCGGCGTGTTAACATGAGCGGGGAGACCATTCGTCGCCTGGGGGGGGGGACTGCTTTGGCTTCCCTTTTTACGAAACCAAAGTCCCTTCGGCGTCGCGTTGTCCGGGGCGGCGGGGCAGGAGCCACCTCGGGTTGCCAGCGGTCGCCCTGTCCTTGTCCATGTGGCCCTTCGGAATAGATCTCTGGCGTGGATATTGGCAGGAGGAGACGTATAAGTCAGATGGACATGTGTACATAAAGAGGAGATTGTGTACATGCAGCATTGCATGTTTGTAGACAGACTGGCGAACGTCTACATGAATATGATTATTTTGTCTTTATGCGCGCACATAAATCATATTTTCCCTTGTGTATCTCTCGTTTTCTGTCCATCCATTTATCCTCCTACTTATGCAAACATAGATGCGTTCAAGTGTACATATCGAAGAGTGTAGACGTATGTGTACCTTGTGTATTTGTACAATCGAAGGGCTTCATACGAGCCGCCCAGATATCGCCCCAAGCAAGGCTTTCTCGACCTGTTGCGCCGCCTCCAATTTGTTATCTTAACCGATCTGCGGCGCCTCGTTACGGCGCGCGACCTTTGACCTCAGCGCCACGCATGCGCCCAATCAGTATCATCCATTGCTATTTTCTTATACATTTATATGTAATGTATGTATATATGTGTATATATATATGTATATATATAATATATATATATATATATATATATATATATATATTATATATATATATATTATTATTCGAAGACAACCTCAGTCCGATTTTTTCCCCAAGTTGTGTTCCGATGTGTCCGTTCTTCCCCAAGGTGTGTTCCGTTCTTGATGAGTCCGTTCTTCCCCAAGGTGTGAGTCCGTTCTTCCCCAAGGTGTGAGTCGTTCTTCCCCAAGGTGTGTGTGAGTCCGTTCTTTCCCCAAGGGTGTGAGTCCGTTCTTCCCAAGTGTGAGTCCGTTCTTCCCCAAGGTGTGAGTCCGTTCTTCCCCAAGGTGTGTCCGTTCTTCCCCAAGGTGTGAGTCCGTTCTTCCCAAGGTGTGAGTCCGTTCTTCCCCAAGGTGTGAGTCGTTCTTCCCCAAGGTGTGAGTCCGTTCTTCCCCAAGGTGTGAGTCCGTTCTTCCCCAAGGTGTGAGTCCGTTCTTCCCCAAGGTGTGAGTCCGTTCTTCCCCAAGTGTGAGTCCGTCTTCCCCAAACATGAGTCCGTTCTTCCCCAAGGTGTGAGTCCGTTCTTCCCCAAGGTGTGAGTCCGTTCTTCCCCAAGGTGTGAGTCCGTTCTTCCCCAAGGTGTGAGTCCGTTCTTCCCCAGTCCGTCTTCCCAAGTGTGAGTCCGTTCTTCCCCAAGGTGTGAGTCCGTTCTTCCCCAAGGTGTCCGTTCTTCCCGTGAGTCCGTTCTTCCCCAAGGTGTGAGTCCGTTCTTCCCCAAGGTTGTGAGTCCGTTCTTCCCCAAGAGTCCGTTCTTCCCCAAGGTGTGAGTCCGTTCTTCCCCAAGGTGTGAGTCCGTTCTTTCCCCAAGGTGTGAGTCCGTTCTTCCCCAAGGTGTGGTCCGTTCTTCCCCAAGGTGTGAGTCCGTTCTTCCCCAACCGCAAGGTGTGAGTCCGTTCTTCCCCAAGGTGTGAGTCCGTTCTTCCCCAAGGTGTGAGTCCGTTCTTCCCCAAGGTGTGAGTCCGAAGCAAACGAGGAGGACTGCAGCAGGTGCGCTTCGTGACTGCGGGATTCATGGGCAAATTGAGTCCAATTTCCATGACGTTAATGAAGGTGATTTGAGCGCTGGTTTGTGGTCTGGATCGAATTTGCATTGCAGGTGTGCCTGGCAATGTCTACCGAGGCTTTTTTTTCTTTAGTTTAGGCTGTCTGGCTTTATAAGTTTGTCTGTGTAGCTTCCTCTGCTTCTGTTTGTCTGGCTCCCTCTGTCTGTATTTGTTTATATCTGTCTCTGTGTCTGTCTCTGTTTCTGTCTTTGTCTGCCTGTCTAGCTGTCTTTGTCTGTCAAGTTCTCTGTCTCAGTATGTCTAGCTCTCTCTGTTTGGGTCTGTCTCTGATTCTGTCTGTCTAGGTTCCTCTGTCTGTCGCGTTTTCTGTCTCCGCCTGTCTTGCTATCTCTCTCTCTGTCTGATTGTCTAGCTCTCTTCTTCTCTGTCTCTATCTCTGTCTATCTCTCTATGCCTTTCTGTCTCTTTGCCTGTCTCTGTCTAGCTGTCTCTTATTCTATCTCTGTCTAGCTCTCTTTGTGTCTGTCTGCCCAACCCTTTCTGTCTGTTTCTGTCTGTCTTTCCGTCTTTTTCTCTCTGGTTCTCTGTAGCTAAATCTCACCTCTCTCTCTCTCTCTCTCTCTCTCTCTCTCTCTCTCTCTCTCTCTCTCTCTCTCTCTCTCTCTCTCTCTCTCTCTCTCTCTCTCTCTCTCTCTCTCTCTCTCTCCTCTCTCACTCTCTCTCTCTCTCTCTCTCTTCTCTCTCTCTCTCTCTCTCTCTCTCTCTCTCTCTCTCTCTCTCTCTCTCTCTCTCTCTCTCTCTCTCTCTCTCTCTCTCTCTCTTCTCTCTCTCTCTCTCTTCATCTCTTTTCTCTCTCACTATCAATATTTATCTTTTTTATCTCCACCCACCCATATATTTATCTAGCCATCCATCTCTTTTCCTCTGCCTCCTCCCTCCCTCTTCGCTTCTCCAACAAAATGCGAAAAAGTAGATGTGGTCACCCTCTTTTCCCACCTTCCATCTATCTATCTACCAATCTGTCCATTTATCCATCTCTTTTCTCTCCCTCCCTCCCATCCCTCCTTCTTCCCTCCTTCCCGCCTTCCCTCCTCCTTCCCTCCTTCCCGCCTTCCCGAGAAAGTAGGCGTGGTCGCCCTCTCCTCCCTCTTCTATCTATTTATCTATCCATCTATCTTTCAGTCTATTCATTTATCCATCTTTTTTCTCTCCTTCTCTCTCTTTATCCCACCCTCCTCCTCACCCCCACCGAAACGCGAGAAGTGGGCGTGGCCAGCAACCCTCTCGCTCTCAACAGCCGCCATTATAATTCCGATACGCGTCCTCTGTCGGTCAGAGTCGAGCGGGAAGCGAGGGGGACCGCTGCGGCGTCTCTCGCTCCCACGCGCGCCCCGGGCGAGCATGGCGCCTCGCGGTCACGTGACTTCATGAGCCGGCTATGTGTATCGAGGCGAAGATTATGCAACTCGCTTTGTTTGGAGGAGAGCGACAAGGGGCAGATAGACAGGTGGAGAGATGTCTGTCTGTTTGTTGGTGTCCTTTTCTTATTATTATTATTATTATTTTTTTTTTTTTTTTTCACTATCGTTTGTTATCGAGAGATGTTTGTCTGTTTGTTGGCGTCCTTTTCTTCTTCTTGTTGTTGTTCTTATTTTTCACTATCGTTTGTTATCGTTCTCAGATATAGTGATCATTATAATTTCCGTTATTGTTATTGTTAACATCATCATTGTTATTATTGTTATTATTATTATCCTCCTCCTCCTCTATTATTGTTATTATTATTATTATTATTATTATCAATCATCATCATCATCATCATCATCTTTTCATTGCATCAGTGACCTCTTGCCTTGGCGGAGGTATGCGCTCTGAGTGTTTTTAGTTAGTATTATTATCATCATTATTATCATCATCATCCTTTTTATCATCCTTATCATCAACAGCTCCAGTTTCTCCATCGACACCACCACTGTGATTATCATAACTACTGTCATTGTTGTTATCATGGAGTTTATAATAAAAAAAGGAAAAATAACCACACAATGTTTTTTCTATCGTTCTCTCTCTTCTGTCTGTCTCGTCTGTCTGTCTTCTCTCTCTCTCTCTCTCTCTCTCTCCTCTCTCTCTCTCTCTCTCTCTCTCTCTCTCTCTCTCTCTCTCTCTCTCTCTCTCTCTCTCTCTCTCTCTCTCTCTCTCTCTCTCTCTCTCTCCCTCTCTCTCCTCTCTCTCCCACTCTCTCTCTCTCTTTCTCCCTCCCCCCCCCCTCTCTCTCTCTTTGATGAACAACTGCCCACGTTTTATTTATTTTCTCTCTCTTCGAGCGCGTGTGCCTACACGAGATGGAACAATTTCCTGCGATTTCTTAACCGCCGAAGAATGTTAATGAAGTGTTTCCTCTGGCCACTGACCTCCAACATGGCGCTGGTACAATACTGTTTATTTACACAGTTTTCTCTTTGGTGTCCATGGGTAATTTGGTGTGGTGGGGGTGGTGGGTGGGGGAGGGGTTGGGGAGGATGTCTGTGTTTGTCTTTGTGTGTATGTGGGGGGGGGGGGGGCTGATGGTGTATGTGGATGTACTGTGCGTGTGTGTGAGTGGGTATTTGTGTGTTGTGTTTGAGTGTGTGTTGGTATCTTTGAGTGTGTATGTGTGTGAAGTGAACGTCAGAGATAGAAAACGGGAAACGTAAGTAAAATGGATACTTAATTAAGAGGAAAATGACTCGAATAAGCGAAATATTAACGAAATATTACACCACATAAAGAAAATTGGTAGATAAAACATCACACAAAATAGGTTTCCTGAAATTACGCATTTTTTTTTCTAATTTTCTTTTCTTCTGTTTTTCTGAGTGTTTTGCCATCCATAATTCCATATAATTTTTTTTATGGAACTTACTCCGGTTTCTAATGACGATGCGAAAATTGAATCGGAAATCTTTGAAGGCGACTCTTAAAGAGGTTCCTTAGAGGCGATAATCACAGAGAGAAGAGAATGGCGGACCCGGAGAATTCTTGTGTTTAAGATCGGACGAAGAAGAGACGTATACTTTGGAAGACAAAATACATACATTGTTTTAAACACAAGCACACAAACTTTCTCTTTCTCTCTTGTTTGATGCGTGCGTGTTGGGGGGGGGGGGGGGATTTATATGCATTGCGTGTTGTGTGTGTTGTGTGTGTGTGTGTGTGTGATGTGTGTGTGTGTGTGTGTGTGTGTGTGTGTGTGTGTGTGCGTGTGTGTGTGTGTGTTGTGTGTGTGAGACTGTGTGAATGTGACACTAAATTTATTCACTTTCATCACTTGAAAGACGAACTATTTTCTTTGATACGATTTCAAATAAAAAAGATAATAACCCAAGATAAAGTGGTCCAGATACAATATGATTCACTGCCCGCAAAAAAAGAAAAAAAAAAGTTAATAATAATTGGAACCGTTAGGAAAAAAAAAAACGGGAAGTGAGTAGAGACCGAGATACCTCATTTACCCGCTTTGTATCACAAAATCTTACCTTTCGAAGTAAAACTCGAATATATATATTTTTTTCTATCTATATCTTAGTACTGTTTAGGAAGATAAAGATTTTTGCATGGACTGGAACGAATGAAACAAGTAATATATTTAGTAGGCCTTTTACTTGACTAAAGTTACTGAACATTTGATTCAGAAGGAGCGAAAAAAAAATAGAATTAGGCAAATGATCAAAATACACTTCCAGTTCTAAGAACGAAATCAATTGAAAATAAGGTTCATGTATTTGGAAATACTCACGAGACTGAAAATGACCAAATATTAAATCCGATAAACCCACGGATTCCACGACATGCACACTTTCATGA